TTTCTCTTTTTTTTTCAAGATATATCTAAGAGCTGCATTTTTTTTCTCTTCTTGTATTTGTCGTACAGCCATGATGGCCTCTTTGTTCGCGCAAGTCTAAGAAAGACAAAAACAAGCACAACATTAGTCCGCGAAAACGCGCATCTCACTGCGTGCACGTGGATACGAAATTATTACGAGCGTGTTCAGAGTTAGCCTGTACAGTGAGAATTTAACAATAATGTAAAACGGCAAAACAAATTTTTTGTAGCCCCACATTCTCCCCCCCCCCCTCTTCTTCTCCTGGCTTTTTTTTTTCGGCATGTGTTATTATTTATACGAGCTCCCGCTGCTGAAATTCCGAGCAAAATAAGAAAGAAAAACAATTGAGCATGCCAACTTGAGATTTGAAATGCAAACTGGGAAGCATTCGTTATAGTTTGGCAGGGCGAGGTTCGAAAAACTGCGGACGGGCACCCGCGCGATTCGGTACGCCGCGTGCAAAGAAGCGTGATAAATTTTTGTTTTCATTTCTCGTTGTTGTTGAACGCTCGCTGTCTTCAAATTTCGAGTCTTCCCAAACCGCCCGAGTACCTTGAAAAATAGCTTTGGAGACCGATGGTCGAAATATGTAAATTATACCGCGTGCACAGCTTCAGGCCTAAAACACAAGGGCCCCGAGTTATTCGCACCTTAATTTTTTTTTGCTAGAACACTCGTTTCCGTTATTTTATTGATATTGATCAAGTTTTTTTCTTCTCTTTCATCTATCGCGTTTGTGGTGTTGTGGTGGTGGCGGTGGGGTGGGGCTATTTCTTACTCCTGTTAGAATTTAGCGAGTGCGGATGTATTATATGCAAAAACAGGCGAAAAGAATAGAAATTACAGGAACTAAAGCGGGTCTAAAACAATTTTCACTCTCGTCAAGCCTATCACATATTGGCTCCCCGCTTTGCTGCGAAAGTTATCGTTTTCTTGCACGCACTGTTGCTCCGCGCAGTATAAAACAACCCACATAAATTCTGTTGTTGCTGTTTTTCTTCCGTGTAATACCTGCGGGCGCACCTTATCCGCATTATCTTCAGTAAGACGTGCTGTTTAGTACAGCATTACAAATACTTCTAGTATTCCACTTCGCCGAAATCTCGAGAAATTGTTTTCAAACTTCCAGGTAACTTAGCTTTTGGAATACGACTCCGCGATTGCTGCACAAAAGGTTTCAAAAATCAAGCTGAATCGGAACGTTAAAGTGATAACACTGAACTACCACTTCAATACTTTTAACGTCTATAAAAAAATAACGCCAGGCTTGTGTGGGACGCGCAGCACAGGCGCAGCGAAAGCTGGACGAGCGACCTTTCTATAACTCCTATTAAACTGTCCTGGGGAAACTAATACAAGTACACTTGCACAGTGCCCACTACGTTATAAATCATCATAATTTTCTTGAGTCACGGAATCATGTGTATTGCATTATTATTCGTCTAAACTTCAGAGAAACGTGGTGAAAACATAGTGCTTGTAAGGCATTATGTTCGCCGCGCTTTCATGCCGCATGGGAAAAGATGATATGTATCCTGCACGGGGTCAGTTCACGAAGGAGTTTCGACCACACGTGTGGCTCCGCGGTAGACTGTGTAAACGCCTACCCGCGATATGTATAAATGCCTCGCTCCTACGTCGTTTGATGCGGGCAGATCTTCTGTTACACGTTATATGAAGCTCAAATATGAGGGTTCAAATCTTGGTGTATCCTGCGGTGGGGGCGCCGGCGGCGCCATTTCAGGATACACCAAGATACACCAGGATACACCAGCATACACCGGGATACACCAGGATACACCAAGCTGCGCCGCCGGCTTATCTAGTGTTCGACCTATATGAGAATAGTTGGTGATGCCTAGGTTTCGCTACAGAAAATAAAGTCATGTCAGGACAGCTTTCATCGACAATTCCTGGGAAAGGGACACACTTACGAAACTATAAAAAACTATATATGATAAAGGTTTCATACGAACAAACTATGGCAGGCTGTCACACACTTCGGGTGAGGCCTCGCCGATCCAACATCGAGGTGCGGCAGACTCGCAGGCTTCCACTTTACGCTTCGGCCTGCGATGCCTGAAAGGCCTCGAAGTGGCACATTTCAAATTTATTTGCAGGTTGGTCGACCCGTGCGGGGTTACACGTATGTATGGTGATGTGTGGGGCTGACCAACGCACTCATAGAGCAGACACGGAAATTTTATACAAAATGAACAAGCATTTAATTAAAACAAGGGCAAAGGCAGGAGTTAACAAAAAAAATAGCAGAGGAAAAAAACTGATACGCGATAAAAAAGGAACGGCTATGAAACAAACTATGCTCTAAAAGAACACTACAAGAGGTACAAACAAAAGACAAACACGTGGAATATTCATAAAATAACAACAAGATGGAAATCATAAAGAGGGTTACAAGGAAATAATTACAGAATGATCATTGGTCGCGCTTTTGAATTTCTAAGTGCGTCGCAGCGCACACAACTACAAATAATAAAAAAGGCCTGGTTAAAATAAATTAACGGTTTAAAAAAAGTCACAATCAAAAGTTCCATACGGACCAGGCCAGCTCTTGGTGCACGTACGGGAGTTTACGGGTGCCACTGAAGATCTCACCGGCTTGGTAGACGACGAGGGTGCCCGGAATCGCAGCCGTCGCAATACGTTGCACGGATCACTCCATGCTCGCCGCCTACGCGAGACTCGCGACACCGACGACTGCACTTGTTGCTGGCTGTACGTCAACTGCCTATTCCGATGCAGTTCAAACCTCTTCAGGGGCGTACACGTGCTCCCGTCTCATCTGGGGGTATATTTCCTTTTTTAGACCACCGGTGCCCCTTTCAGTACAGGTGCAGGGAAGACGAGCCGGCGCCACGCTGGGTCGTTAGTCGTCGGATGTCGTCCTCCCAACACAAAAGCGCCCTTCCTTGGAAGATGGGGCCCGCGGATGATCCGAAAATCGGAGTCGTTTGTGACACATGCAAAAACAATCTTACGCTATTGCAGATTTCTTCAATCATCATCCTGCCGTCATAAACTTGGTACAGGAAACAATGCACATGAAATGCTTCAAAAAAAAGTTCACTTCATACCTCCTTTCAATACAAGAATAATTCTGTTTTTTTTTACCTTGCTGCAGTCTATACTGTACATACACTTAAAAAATTTATCCGTTTTATGAGTATATGGAACAATGTATATATCTATAGAATCCTGTATATGTTTTGCCTAACGATGTAAAGTATATGTAATCTTTTGTATGTTTTTTTATTATCTAACTGTCACTGATGTTTGAGTTATGTGTCTCTAGGAAGGCATGTGACACTCAGTCAGGCACTCGTGCCTTTTTGTCACACCTCCTAGACAGGACAAATGGACACATTATTTGTCTTTGTCTGAAATAAATGAGATGTTAAGTGTTTTCTAAACACGGCTAAACTATAGTATACGTAGTGCTGAGCACGCCGAAACTTGGCTTAACGTGTCAAGTGACTACCTGTTACGGGATGGCATTTTAGTGACGTGATTACAGCTGCTAAGTAGCTTATGGCAGACACGTGTCTCGTGACTGTATCAGGTGGTTTATGACGCGAACGTGTCAAGTGACCAGCCGAAATCCGACGACGTTGTGTGATTTCGGGCCCGAGACTAAAATTTACGCGATTATTGTCCCGTGACTCAACGCTGTGCGAATTTAGGGTATTTTTAGTCATGTGAGTAGTAGTTACCTGATGCTACATAATTCTAGTCACGTGGTTACTTGCGTGTTGTGTTGTGATTTTAGTTACGTGAGTGTTGCGTAGTTTTTATTGTCGTTACTAGTTTTTACGTGAGGTTACGGGATTTTAGTCACTTCACTAGATGTTATATGAGGTTAAGTGATATTCAGTCGTGTAACTAGTTACTATGTGACGTTACGGAATTCTTGTCACGCATCTAGTAATTACGTGACGTTACGTGATGTTTAGTCACGTGACATACTTGCCTATCATAGTGATTTTGTTCCACGCCAGATGAATTGTGTTGTAGAGTTGATTGTAGTACAGTTGAAGAGAATGAAGAGAACGTGTAACAGTTCGTCACGATAATGATTCTTTTTCGCACTGGCCGGTACAACAAAAAGCTTTAAACGAGTACTGACAGGACTTCTATATCGGGGGAATGTTGTTCTAAAGAACAACTCGGGTTTCGAAAACTCTATGAACAGTACTGGGGTGCTCGAGAATGCATCGCATGCATTTAAAATTCCGCTACCTTAAAAAGACATTTTCGGTTTTGATAACGAGAGGGCGGCCTCTTTGTGACGTGTCATGGCAGTGTGACGTCACGGGACGAGATCGACTCGCGACGTGCTAGCGGCTCATCTGAAATCTGATCGCAGTACGCGTGCACAGTGATGAGTGCATTGCTTCCAACAATCCTGACTGATATTTCTTTGGTTTAGGCTTCATGAATGACGCAGAGTTTGTAGACTCAGTGGAAGTGTGTTGACTCGTCCGGATATTGTCCATTGGGGTGCAGCTTACTTGCTGATGCGGAGCGGAGATAACTATGCAGTCAAATAAAATATTTTATACGTGTTGGCTGACTCCGGGGTGTGGGAGCGTTAACACTGCATACTACGGAAACGAAAAATGTCTCTTTTGGCGACGTCTCAAAATCATATTAGTAAACTTTGAAAGAGCTCAGCTCTTATAGTTTGATGAAAATGTAAGTCTTATCACGAAGAACCTAAAGCCCACTCTGCCATGGATGGACGACCTGTACCCTCCATATATGATAGTTGCGTTTAGAAGGGCGTTTAGTTTAGTTATGATGGAAATTATCTGAAAGTGACCCGTTTATTACCGGCTATAAAAAACACGCTACCAGTTTATACTGGTCTTTTGACATTTTCTATCGTTCCCTCCCCCCAAACTGTCATCTTAATCTTCTTTTCCTTCTTCCCAACTCTTCTTTCGTTTTCATATTCGTAGGTATTTCACCACCACCATCCCCAGGAGTCCAGCGTGTACAGCTCCTTCGCCCCGACCCCGCCAACATAACGTCCACACCTACAGAATAATGGCACTACGCATCCAAAATGAAGAAAGAAAAAAAAATCTCCGTATCCAGAGCTGTTCTGTTTCGCACCCGTCCTCCACCTTGTCGAAGGGCATGGCACGACGCAGCGCGCCACCGACATTTTCACGGTAAGTGCGGTGGAAAACTTAAATTGCTCCTTGCCGTGACGCAAGTACCTCGTCTTCGGTCCCATCACAATCTCCCCACCTCTCTGTTCTTTATTTGGTTCTTTTTTTTTCTATCCTCACTGATTCTTGCTTCTTTTTAAACCGGGGCCACGCTGCGAGATCTGCAGCACGTTTTGCTATCCCGTCTCCCAAGTGCGCAGTAATAGAGGCAGCTGACGCTGGAAGCCGCGGTGAGTTTTCTGGTCGTATGGAGGTTTGTAAAAAAAGAAACGCAGCCGCGTGTGCCATCACGCTCTGACACCTACTCGCAACACCCAGGCCTCCGTATGTGAGGGGTGGTCGAGGGGGATGGGACAGTCGGAGGGGCGCACGGTTGGCACGAATCGCGTTGTGCAGCTCTGCGGTGCCGGCACCGGCTGCGCTGGCGCGAGATCTGAGGGAGAGCGCAATAGGCATTTAGAAAGAACAAGGCCGGGGTGCGAGAAAGCGGTGAAGTGTCCTAATGATAGTCGTATACTGGGGACCAGAAAAAAAAACGCTCACGATTGATCGAGGTTGAGTAAAATGCTCGTGCTCGCAAAGATAGCACGGACGTTTCACCTTTGTACAATAGAGCGTGTGCCTTCGCGTAAATTCGGCTGGATTGGGGGGGGGGGGGGGGGGAGCGAGCGCGAAGTACTGTTACACGTGTGCCCTTTGCGGTGAACTAAACGTAAAGGAGTGGGAAGAACGAAAGGGTGGTTCGGGCCGCACTCTAAGATAATAATAGGTCAGTTGGATCAACTGAAGGCCCAAGGCATGAAGAGGCGTGAGAAGCGAGCCGCAGATGACTGATGGGAGGCGTCAGCGGGGAATTGCTAACGTAGCACACTGTCGACAACCACCGCATTGAAATTTATGTCTGGACGCCAGCTATCCTAAGAGAATCTCAAAAGTGCACGCTTCAATATCGCCAGCAGTCGGCATAGTGCGTGTGACAGGGTTTAGGCACCGTCTTAGCCGTTGATACCAACGCAGTTTATAGTTTCCCTGTCTTGGATTCATCTGAACCTCACTAGAAACTGGAGACAGGACAAAGTACTCAGTGGATGCAAACCTAACGGATTAGTGTCCCCAACTCAGGCAGGCAGCCAGGTTTCTTTTTTGAGGGAAGAGGATGGGGCAAGACCTAATTGTTCGAAAGAAAGTCTTTTCGTGGCAAATAGAAAGAAAGTTGCCCGGTAATATGTCAGGTGCTTAATTATTAGATGAAAATTTGAACAACGAGAAATGCAGCACAAGAGGCGAGTTAATCAGCGATGGAGAGCAAATTTTGACACTGCAGTAAAGCTAGTGCGTGCGCACCTGAAAGAATGTTTTTGTACCAAATAATCTCGACCAAGAAGGCCCATACAAAATTAGTAAAGGGTAAACGAGTGACGAAAAGAAAAAAAAACGAAGGGGCCGGAAAATGCAAGAAGCGGGTCGTTCACTTACGCATGTGCGACAAAAAATATATATGGGACTCTTCCTCTGCCGAACTTTTCGCACCATGTCTTATCAACAGGCCTGCTAAAAAAGCGGGAGCCATGTTATGGCTGGCATTTTTAAACAAAGAAAACGCACACTGGCAACACAATTTTATTGAACAACAAAGAACTTAAATACGGGTGTCTCCCTGACACAAAAAAGGCATTATATTAGCAAGCAATTTTAAATGATGGCATTGTCAATTGTTTTACCATATAGCAAATGTCAATGCGAAAAAAAAATGAACATGCAGCCCGGCCGAAGATGCACTAGGGTTTTCATGCGCCTGGGTTTCTTCATAAACACAGTGATAACTTTGTGAACAATGGCTTGTATCCTGCTAATTAACATTAGGGCCAGATAATGCGTTTTCACTCTTCTCAGTGTCGAGAAGCTGCGTTCTGCAGCAGCTGTATTGACTGGTAGCGTTGCCAATATCTTGAGATGTGTGTGAATTTTCGGGAAGAGGGCTGTGTTGCATTCAGCCAAAGGGTCCTTCGCAAAGTGGGGAAATTCGTCCTCTTGCATGACTTGCTGACTAATTCTCCAGATTTCGCACTTACCATATAGTGTAAGGATGTAAACTGTTCTTGTATCTCTCAGGTAAAAACCGAAGGCCAGCTCACAGGGTCAAATTTTTCTTTGGATGCGTGCTTTGGGAACAACACAACTTGCAAACTTTGCAGTGTTTTGCGATGGTTTGTAAAGCACCTTTTGAGGGAAGTTTTCAGGTCATCTATGTAAGGAATGAACAAGGCTCGCCTGTAGTACTCTTCCACAGAGCTACAATCGTAGTTTGCCCGAGATCTTTGTGTTCCTATTACCCGTGCGATCTGGCACTTCACTCCCAACTCCACCGCTGTCTTTACATAGAGAAAATATTTTGTGACGTTTCACCCACCTTGTTTCACAATATCGGCGCAGCCGGTCAAATGAATTTGTAGACGCTTCTTGGTGTTTTTTTTTTTTATTTTCAGGACTGTTATCCTTTTTGTTGACACCCGAAAGGAAGTGCACACTTAACTAATTTTTAAAGGCCCGTCGAATGTCTTCGACAGCTGATGTGTCACTCAAAGAAATGTTCAGGGAGTGCGACGAGCAATGCGGGCGTACGGAAGCATTGGGAGTCGCTCCGGATGAGCGCCTGCACCCTTGAGGTCAACAACACTGTTCCCTCCCATTTCACCTTGTCGAGACTCTCATCCTCCCCACCGGGTTGTTGAGCCATCCACTTGGTGCGAGCGGCGGACACCGCTTGCCTCAGGGTTGTCCAACGGCTGGTTTATAAGTGGAAAGCTGTTGTACACTACTCTTCTCTTCTTCCTCTTCTTTTCTATCTTCATGTTATGTACATAAACCTCCGTCTGCCCTGTAAGAGTACATTTCCTAGCTACAAAAAAATGGGTCCGGTGACATGGGCCAGCTTCCAGTCGAGACCGGCCGGACCCTGCCCAACAGACTGGAAGCAGTGGCGGAATCTTCCTAAACCCCGAGCCCCAATACCACGCGAGATCGGTATAGAACTCGAGAAATCGAAGTGGCACCGTCTGATTCCACGGTCGAATCAGTGAGAAGGATGTGGCGCCCTTTCCCCACCGCTTTCGCTGTGCTACGCATACAAAAATCATGTAGAAGCTTCCCTGGCTTCCCAGCCTGGGCCCAAGCACGCGGTGGCGGAGGTACGGAGAGTCAGTCAGTGGGGCGTCAGTTAGTGAAGTCTGCTGCTTAAGAGATAGCGCACTTCGCTCGACCAGAGGAGACGTGTTTGGTGAGATAGTGTGGTCAGTCGGACTGTTGAAAAGTATCAATAGATTACGCCGTGGGGGCAGTGACAAGTCTTGAAGAGGGTCGCCGAAGAGACATGCGACCACCTCCTACTGCGAAGGAGAACGAACCGTCAGCGCAACTGTCTAGGTGGAATGAACCATCAAGCCCGTGATTATGATAGGTGCTACGTGCAGACCAGTGTGAAATGGCCCAGATATTAATGAGGTAGAGCTCGCGATGACCATCTGATTTGTTTTGAATACAATTGTCGCGTCTAAATCACTACTTGTTCGTTCTGAAGTCAACGATTGCCGCATTGCTGTTTCTGTGGATAATGAATACAGAACGTTCTAGCGAAGTGCCCTTGCCCGGCAGTCGAACCGAATCAACACATGCTTCGGCTACCATAACTTTCGTCGTTTATACCATGCAGTCTCAACATGGTGAAGTGCATCCAAAGAGCGCCGATAAGACAGAACGAGAGCTTGATAACGGTAGAAGCAATGCATCAAATTACACGATTCTGAAGCAGCTCGTTTGTCCCAACGCATGGCGGCGATCAATTAATTCCGTCGCTCAATCTCATAAGGCCTTGCGGTGAATGAGTGATACCGTGTTGCGGGCGAATTTTCGTAGGTGTTGAGCATCCCACCCCAGAGCAATTCATTAGACATTCCTAGAAGTTTCAGCCACCACATATACGAAGAACTTTGCCATTTTATAACTGAAACGGTAACGTGAACAACGCGGTACCACACGTACAACGACGTAAATAACAACGAGGGTCTTCTGCTTACTTTCCCGAGAGCGACGAGCAAATTTGCCAACTATGTCGCTTCCGTCGGCGCGCAATAGCCGAATAATCGGAGACTCGCGTAAACACTCATTCAGCAAGTAGGTGTCCCAACGGTGCAAATTCCTTACACTGTTTCATCTTCCTGCCAAGCGGGCGCCTGCCCGATGACAGATACAGTGGACAAAGGGTCGTGGGGTTCGCGTAGGTGCAAGTGTGGTCGGACGGGTTAAGGGTTCACCGAAGCCGTCGCAATCCGTACTTCCCTTCCCTTTTTCCAAGCTGTCCGTGTATAAAGTGCATTTAGCCGTCTCCGCACGGGGGTGGTGTTTGACAATATGTAGAGAGCATGTGTTCGTAGCCTTGTGAGTCATTCGGGTGTCTTCTTTCCTACACGGGCAATGGTATCGCTGACACCTCAGACATATGAGTGATTGGTGTTTCTGTCGGGGGGTTGATTCACGGGCCGGACACTGATTTTCTTGGGGAGCGTTGCCGTGCTTTCAGAACAAAGGTTCTTTGGTAGCTGTTCTTGGTTAGTAACCTAAACAGCGTTTGCTTTTTATTTGTTTTAATGCGCATGCCGCTACTTGTGCTTGAGCCTCTGTACTCTGGCGTTCTTGGCCGACTAGGCGAATTTGAAAAACAGGGAAGTCACTGCTCCCCCCTGCTTAAGTGCCTGCCCCAACTTGTCGCCAACGGTGAAGGATGGCCCCCTAATTGAACGAGCTGAAGTCCAAAGGATGCAGGAGCGTCAATGCGAGCCGACTGTTAGTTTTCTTGGGCAATAGAATGCTTGTGAGGAAGCGAAGACAAACATAAAAATGGTGAGTGGAGCGACAAAATTAACAATATTACTTCGATAACAAGAAGAACACTTCAATTGAACATATCGCTAACGATAAAGTGTGGTCCATTTCCTGCAGGGATT